AAGAGAAGAGAAGAGAAGAGAAGAGAAGAGAAGAGAAGAGAAGAGAAGAGGAAGCCAGTGAATATTGCTCCTTTCTTCTTTGTTGGTCTGCCTGGACTTTAGGTTCAGAGAGATTCTGACCAGTTAATTGGATGTTCTGTTAACTGTGTTGATTTTAGTGGACTCAAGAATACACAATTCTGGATGGAGATTTCCAAAGAGGGCAGGACTTTTATAGCAAACAGCTGACCAAATAAGAGAAATAGAGATGCCACAAATCTCTAACAGAGTTTTGAAGGAATCATCTGACCTTTAAAAAGTTGATTGCATCTTTGGTTGTAGAAGAGGCATGGTGGCCTTGAGGCTGTTAATCTTCCAAAACATTCTTAAATAATTGTCTGTTACTAGTTTAAAAACTCCAGAAATAATTTCCAGTTTTTGCTGTTCCAGTTCCATATGCCTTAAACCCATTTTTGTTTCATGTGAACATTGATGCCACATCTAGGTGCTGATCTGACAATTTGAGAGGGTCACAATTTTAGAATCATCTAAATGTCTTTGTATTTGAAGATAAGATCCATGACATGTAGAAGAAGCATATCAATAGATTTGTAAAGATACTGTCTAAGTAAAGATTTGGCATGGGTGGACTTCAGCATAACAGTTTGTCCTATAAATGAGGCAGGTGAACTACCAGCAGGTAAAGGATCAAAACATACCCCTGCCTGCCCTTCCTTTAATGTCTTGATTTTCACTAATGAGTCTCAGAATATAGCTCATTCCATTTATGTTTATTTGGAAACCAGCCTCTGCATTCAGTGAGAGTTACTTCCCAGTGTTGAGGACTGATGCCTTAATATGTGAAACTCCATTCTAGCATGTTTTATATAACCATGCTAGCGTACTGTATTGCCAAATCCTTCCTAAAGAAAATCAACAGGTTTTACAAATCTCACGAACCTTGGAATTATTAAACCTTTGTGTTTTCTTGCAATCTCCTGTTAACGTATATATAAATATGTCTCTCCATAGACAATGGCACCTGGACTCAGCTGTGGCTTGTAACTGACTATTATGAGCAGGGCTCTTTGTTTGACTACTTAAACAGCAACACTGTGACAGCTGATGGAATGGTTAAGTTGACATTTTCAATAGCCAGTGGTCTAGCACATCTTCACATGGAAATCGTTGGAACCCAAGGTATAACCCTTTTCAGTGCAGCTTTCTTTGTGTTAAAGTCATAGGACTTGAGAATGACTTGAATGGAAGCTAGGGGGATATATTTAGTGTGGCAATAAGCTTAACTCAGTTGACATTCACATCTCAGTTTGACCAGGAATAATTGCTGTCCTCCTCTTCCAGCAGCACTATAATACCTGGCAACTTCAGGAGAGGTGAGAAATTGCCTTCTCCATTAGTTTGAGTATCATTTACTCCTCTCTCTGACTTACATGTGGTATTGGCATTCCATCTAATTGTTAAAACTCTGTGTAATCATGAAAGAAGTCCTTCCTCTTGCGTTTTCCACATCCAAGCTTTTCTTTTGCACTGTCTGAATTAAATGTATACAGCACTTGTAAACCTTTATAAGCACTTTATGAACAACTGCGAGAGTAAAGTCTCCTTCACCTTGAGCTTGATTTCTGGGGAAGTCATGGATAGTCCTGTTTCCAGGATAGAGGACTTTTGTTTTTACTTCTCTACAGTCCTAGAATTTCCTGGTCTTCTCTTATCCAAATACTAACTAGACCCAACCCTATAGTACTTAGCTTTCTGAGATTCCAGTGAACTCAGATAATATATGTCGGGCTTTTTTCACAAAATCCCATGGGGTAGATTTAGTTGAGAGGTTGGGCCTCTCCACCTGCATTTTCTTTTGCTGGGCCAAATCTGCCCAATCTGCATTCTGACATCTGAGTCAGCTTTTTTCTGGCTTTGCGCCATTTTGGTCGAAGCTAGAGCACAGTTAGAATTGGGCCTTTTTTCTCTCTCTCTCTTCCTATTATAATTCTGGGGTTTGAGGTAGTCTGTTCACTTGCTGTACCACATCTTCCAGCTCCAGAATGCTTATATATCCTTATTCATCACTTACTGTGATCTGACTATGTTGGGGAAGGAGTATAGGCAGTCTTATTAGAAAAACTGATCTTAATCCTTCTGGTTAATTTCTAGTGAATTTCATAAATGTTATAAAGAAACTGCTTGCTTTGATTTCTGGTGCTTACCTTAGTAGCATGCATTGAATTCTTACATCTTCCAGCCTGTGGCTGAATCAAACCCACATATATAGAAGTTCTATATGAAGTATCTGGTTGCAAATATGCCATCAAGCTGTCCTTCAAGCATCATAGCCTGCAGAAGCTTTTTAACAGAAACAGAAGCAATGGCATATTCACAGTAATGTGACTTTGCCCCCTGTTACAAGTGCTCATTTTTAATTTGTAAATTACCAGACAAATGCACACAACATGACTGGAATAATGCATGGAGTGTGGAGAAGCTATAGCATTTTTTTTAGTGGAATGAAGGTGAGGAGATCTTTGTCATTCTAAGAGGCAGGGCACTGTCTAAGTCATGTTTTTTGAGCTCTTGTGTTAATCAGCTGGAGGGAGAGCTGTTTGTTTCCCATCATATTCCCTCCCTGTTCTCAGCATGTTGAGGCAAGCAGAAGTGATGATGATCAAAGCTCAGCTTCAATCAGTTTTGTGAGGGATGAGGGAGATTAGAAATGAAGTGAAAAATATGCCATGTGGAAGTGCCCATAATGAACTGCCTGATAACACCAAATGAGTGCAGTGATTAAGTGAGGCTTAGTGCCTGGAATATTCCTGATCTAACTTTTTATCCATTTCCTCATTCTGTTCTATTTTATAAATATAACATACTTCTAGAAGTTGTAGAATGGTGCTTTTGTAAATAATTTTTGGAAGACATCTTGGTTTTAGTTTCGCAAATGGGTATGAAATGAACAATAAATGCAGTAGCTCTATTTCTACAGTTGGCCATAATGTGCAATATATGTGTGTTTGTAGAGTAGCCTTGGTCCAAAATGGGCAGCACCTGCCCCCAACAGCCTTCTGTGGGACTCACCTATTGCAGCCAGCCATCCCTGCATTTTCCCAACAGTCAGTTGATCAATGGATTTTGGGGGATGCCATTGTGTTGCAGGAGCCCTTCTCTAGTATAATATCATGTTCCTCCCTTGCAGCGTGCAAAACAAATGCTTGATTGGTTGCCTGGGAGCATAAGATTGTTAACCAGCTGATTGGTGGAAAAATGATCAGAACTTGCTGGTTACCAGTCTTATGCTCCCATGCTGTCTTCATGACAGTTCATTGGGAGACAGTAGAAAGGCAGCACTTAAAAGAAAACCCAGGTTTTCCGGTTCTTTTCAACTCTTATAGTAGCACCTTTGTGCAAGAAATGCACCCTTTTTGGTCACTGTGCCTGAAGGACCCACCTGAATGTGTAAGTTGAATAGGGCTGCATGTGCTAGTCCTGCTGCAAGGATCCTAACCATTCCAGGTTAAGCAGCAAAGACTGCTTGAGATTTCTATTTGTTTTCACTAGAACATGAATAGAAGTTGTCACTCAGTCAGGAATCTTGCTTTATTAAGTAGAAAGAATATTTTATTCTATTCCTCTTACTAGTGTTGACATAATGCATTCATCCTAAAACCTGAATAGCAGTGTAGTGTGTGTTTTCTGTTAAATAAACCAATTGTATGTTATTTTGAACTTGTCATATATTTTGTGCTTCAAAGGAAAACCAGCTATTTCACACAGAGACCTGAAATCTAAAAATATTCTAGTCAAAAGGAATGAAACCTGTGCTATTGCTGACCTTGGGCTAGCTGTGAAGCATGATTCTATATTAAATACAATTGACATACCACAGAATCCTAGAGTAGGAACCAAGAGGTAAGACAAACAAACAAAAAAATAATTTTAAAAATAGTATATGTATATGAGCATAAAACTATACTGCATTGGCAATTGACCTTTTTTGAATTGTACTTCTTCATTTCAGTGATGGGTCCCCAGATTTGTGCAGTCTTGTCAGTTGTTCTCATATTTTGCTTTTCAACTTTGTTGTGGAGCATTTTGAATTGTCACATGACCTGTAGTCATATATGTCTGGGCAAGAAAGAATCAAAATACTGATAGCTTCTCCTTGTGATCTTTCAGAAATTACTTTTGTATGACTCAAAATCTGTTGTTTTGCCCTGTAAACTCTATAACTTCTTGAAATCCCATAAGACTTTCCTTAAAGTCATAGCTGTATAGGATGATTGTGAGGGGTTGTGTAGGGTTTATCTTTTCCCTAAGTCTCAGGGGCTAATACAAGACCTGCAATTTATTGTAGAAGGAAGTTTGTCGCTCATTGCTAGTTATTTCGTATCAAAGCAAATTGCAGTTTCAGAGAGACAATTAGGTGAATGAATCAGCAGTCCATTTGAAAGTAGTAACTGAACTTATTGAAACCTTTTTATGTAAAAAATCAAGTAGATTGGAAATGTCTCAAGTTGACCTGTGCCTAATGTGGGAGTGCATATTTTGTTTTGACACTGTGATCAATTGATGATCAATGTTATATTTGGGGAGCATTTGTTCCATTCCCTTATGTGTGTGAATCTTGCAAATTGATTATAGGGAAACTGCTAAAGTAGGAAGCTTTGGGGAAAAAATATGAATAATATTTTGAATCTTTCCTCTCAGGTAAGTTCACTTATTTGAAAATATCACATGTATAGTCCATTTGGATTATCTTTCCTCTAATCATGCTGCTGAATATTGGAAATACTAATCCTCATTAGCTGTGATAAACAACATACTGTATAATTTCACTTTCTTCAACAAATCTGTGAGTTTTCAGTGTCTCTGTGTTTGGAAGGTACATGGCTCCAGAAATACTTGATGATACAATGAACATAAATATCTTTGAGTCTTTCAAGCGTGCGGATATCTATTCTCTTGGACTGGTGTATTGGGAGATATCCAGAAGATGCTCAGTTGGAGGTATGACCCATGTCTCTTATTATGGCTACTTACACTTAACCAAAGCTTTGCTTCTTACTGAATTTTTAATTCATTTTGGACATACTGTATTACATTTATTTATACAAAAATGTATAACCTGTTTTAAAGAGCTTTCAAAATATAAAGAGAATTTTTCTTAAAAAAATCTACAGTATCATTAAGACATATTAACCAAACAAAATGAAGCATAAACAGGGTAAATACCATAATGAATAGTCAATACATTAAATGAAACAGAAATAAGATCAAAAACTTATCTAAAGATAAATGTTTTCAGTTTTCAAAAGCACACAAAAAGACAACAAAGTAACTCTTATTTAAAACAGTTCCAGGTCCTAAGAAGAAAGTAACGGCAAATCACTTCCAAAAATCTTGCTAAGAAAACTGCGGAGACTAGTCCAAGCAGTCGCCAGGAATCAACACTGACACAAAGGCACAAAAAAACATAACAAAACAGGATTACAGTTAGAAACACAATTCTAAAATGTACTTATATAGAATTCTTTTTCTGGTCCTTTAAAACACTTCTACAATCACACTCCTACACAGAAGTCAAACGTGAGGATCTCTTTTTGTCATCCAAACATTAATTATAACGCTGTAGAGCTGGATATAGGTTCCTGTAAAAGATTTGTGATCTCATTATGTTACCTTATAAGTATCTTCTGTTATTGGTGTTATACACAAATGCATCTAATCCTTCCTCTCTCAGCCCATACCAAAGTTTGTTTGTCAGTCATCAGCTGCCTTTTTTTTTTTTTTACATAAGAAAGATTGGTAGAGAAAAATGCCTGCCAAATTCAGGTTCCTGTCCATGCTGCAGCTTTAAATGAAGATGGTTTCCAATTATGTTTAATTTGAGCCTAATGACTAAAGATTCTGTTTTACAGCTTACATTGGGTATGTATCTACACAAAAGTTAATATTTTGGTGTTGAATAATCTTTTGAAAAAAACAGAAGTTGTTGACAGAGAAACCATTCTGTCCCAAGCAAGTCCCTCCAGATGTGTTCCAAAGTATAGGTCAACATTTCCCTGGGAATTTAGAAAGTTCTACTTCCAACATGTTTGGACACACCACATTGCAAAGGCTTGCAACAGAAAGTTGTATTCGAAGATTGGTGACCAGTATTATAGTTACAAAAATTCTAAAATCTGTTTTCTACAACTTTTGAAATGGCACTAATAAATAACTACTTGTACTTCATTGCTGTCTTAGGAATTGTGGAGGAGTACCAGTTACCTTATTACGATGCTGTATCTTCTGACCCTTCAATAGAAGAAATGAGAAAGGTAGTCTGTGAACAAAAGCTGAGACCAAATATCCCAAATCAGTGGCAAAGCTGTGAGGTAACATCATCACCTTCATTAAAAAAAATGTTCATTTTCAGTATTCTCTAATGAAATAAAAGAGACGCAGTGCAAAGCAAGATTCAACTCTGGGTGCCTTAATACCTTCACATTCCTAAGGTTCACCCTAGAATAAAAAAGTGCTAATCCAGGACCTGAGGCTCCCTGCAAAGAATATCTTTCTATCTAGGGTTACCAGATACTGAAACAGGCAGAGGACACAGACAATTGGAAAGGAGGGCAAATGGGGGGGGGGGGGGGG